GCCCACTGCCATCCAATATCTCCTCTTTCATTATTGGCTACTTGTATTTAGTGTTATACTAAATTCTTTTTTTTTCAAATCAATGACAAATTAGTAATCATCTGTATTTATTTTTATTCAATCAAACAATTATAAAATATTTCTAATGCAATACACTTATTTTAAACTATATTCCTATCATTTTATTTTTTTTTAGCAAGCCATAGTTCTTCTAAAAGACAATTAAAATGGTTGGTAGAATTGAGACATTCATCGAATTCTAATCTATTACACACCATGGATTGATATCAAAGCACGGATAATGTATGATTTCTGAGTCTACTTCACTTTTCCTACTATAGAAAGAGAAGTTATTATGATGAAGGGCATGCTCTGGACTGATTATGTTGATAAGGCCTTTTAAGCACAAAGAGTTGAGAGCTGGGACTCTATCAAGAATTCTAGTAAAATTTTTACTTGTCTATGTAATAATTTTTTTTAAAAAAATTACAAATGATTAAGATAAATACTAATAATTGATAGTAGAATTATGTTTTGTACTCGTGTCGGAGTACTCTGTGATATTAGCTATTCATATTCACAATTTATTCTAATTAAGTAAATGAGTAATAGAGAGAAATGTCAAAAGGATCATTTGACTCTCAACAGAGGTTATTTTAATCCCATAGTTTATAAAAGTTTCAATTTAATCCCAAGGCTCTTTTAATATGGGTTGAAATAATCCCTAGTGAGGACTATATTAGGACCCAATGAAATACTTCGGTGAATAATTTATTATTGTTATAAACTTTGGGACTAAAATGGCCCAATGTAAATAGTCAGGAAACTATTTTGGGACTTTACTCATGGGTAATATGAAGTAAGAGAATATGTCATGCAAAGGTATTTATTTATGGTAAAATTAAAATAAGTTATAACCAATATTATGGTCTTTAATAATCACACCATCTTCAGCAATTGGGCAAACACTATTTGCAATATGACATGGAAAATAAGCTTTGTTATTTGGTGAATATAATTTGTTTGTTCAAAGATTGATAGCTACTCCAAATTTTGATGAATTCAACAATTGGAAAATTTTGAATGAAGATGGTTTTCAAAATTGCCTTGATTTACTTGAAGAATTAAGAATTCATGTCTCTTTTAAATAATAAGAAGTCCAAATGTGAGTTACAAGAAATTTTGATTTGAATGTTCATGTGAAAACATTCAATCATGGAAATAAAATCCAGAGAAAATTTGAAATGGTTTGTTTCTTGAGAAGGATCATATATAGTTAAAGAGCAAGTCTACTCTGGTGCCTATCGACTTGAAGCTAAATTTCACATGGAAACACCAATAACGTGGAGTAGATATGATTTAAAATATTTTATTATTAAAAGTGTTCATTAAGAAACTTTCTTGTAAATTCACTTTCTTTAAAAGTCAATATTTCATAAAAAATAATAAAACTGAATTATTTCCTTAAGTATTTTTCTTAGAGAAGTTACATTTCAATAACTTTACATTAAAAAGAAGTTCTTATGAATTTGGAAAACTTATCCCTCATTGTAAACTCGACAAAATCAACCCTTAGGATGAGCTCGAGGAACTTGCCCCTCAAAGTTACCTGATGACTTGATCCCTTAAAATGAATTTGTGGAACTTGTCCCTCAAAATATACTCATCAAAATTGTTCATTAGAATGAGCTCATGAATCTCATCCCTCAAAGTATGCTCGACAAAATCATCCCTTAGAATAAACTTGAAGAAATTGGTGAACTCTTTTCTTTAAAGATTGCTATAGAAGTTCTTGAGAAAGAGAGAGTGGGAGAGATTATTAACTGGGTTTGATCTAAAATTAATAATCATCTTCCGAATGCAAGGTAGTGAGTTGACAGAATGGCAACTTAGATTAACATTAGAAAAACATATTTATTAAATAAATACTCAATTAGTTAAGCAAGTTATCGACTAACTTAAGCTTAGATCAGAGTAATTTCTAGTTAAGGTGAAGTTTAAAAGGTACGAGACTATTCTTTGCAGGAGAGCAATATGGATGAGCAATATATATTTGATGAATTCATCTTATAAACACAACTTTCTTCAAAAGGAAAAAAATATATTTGATGAACTAAGGTAAATAGTATCCCATGCTTTCAAATTATTTTTTATATTTTAATTTATAATTCTTTTATGATCCACTTGAATACTAAATTTATTATTCAAGATTTCTATCGTGAATTCAACCAACTTTAAAGATTCATAATCTAAAGATTTCCTTAAGATGAGTGAATCAATCAGTATGTTGAGAATATTTGGGATCTTATGGATGAAAAGCAAATCCTAATATTTGGATTTTCCTTTTTGTGGATCCACATTAAGAGCGAGAGAAGTACATACCAGTAGTCAGTCTATAAATATTATTCCTACAAAGGCAAGTTTTGGCAAAAAGAGAGGCTCATCTAAGGGATGACCTCGTAAAGATTCATAAAGGATGAATGGTTGCATAAGATTTGAAGATTATATAGAAGTTTTCAAGTTCAAAGTGATTTCACAAAAAACATTTTATTGAGCCTACTCGTTAAATTATTTTTTATATGGCACATTCTTTAATTGGCAAGTTTGATTTTTTAGTGACACATTTAGTTATTCAATTTTTAGACTTATTCAGTTCAATAACTTTGCAAATCTGTGCTCGCTTATTAGCTTATAACATTCAATCACACAATTGTTAAGAAAAATAAAGCCGATTAAAATATATGAAATAACAAGTTGCAGGAAAAGCACTTTTAATATATCAATTTCTGTTACAAAGTGCCTAAAGAGTAAAAGTTATTCTCGAACTTAACATGAGATGATCGAAATTTCATCTAAACTTCTGTTCTGCAAGTTGGCAACGTTTTCATTTGAACTCATCTTTTTTACTTAAAATTTATTCATATGTTCTCTATTCAAGTAAAAAGCTACAAGCTAGTTTGACTCATTCATTTTATAAGAAACACGGGTTAAGTTTTGCTGTTGAGTTTTACTTGTATTATTTAAATGTATTCGTTACTGTTACATTAAGCTTTAATCCAAACATTTAAGTACGGGATTACATGGTGAACCTGACACCTGAATCTTATTGCATCATTCTTGTACTTTTAGCAATATAGTTAAATTCAATGCTTCTCTTTTCTTCTTTTTATCTCCTATCTTTATTTTGTTTTCTATCTATTCTAATTAGTAAGATACTAGCACCTTCCATGGACAAATTTGTATGTAACATTATTTTCTTTTTATTATTCATTTTATGTTTTAATATAGTGAAAGTTTGGTTTCTCCATGGACAAATTTGTATGTAACATTATTTTCTTTATATTATTCATTTTATGTTAGTGGAAGTTTGGTTTCACGAAAATTTGAGATAATGTAATTACCTGCGAAGTAATTAATTTGTTATATGTTTGAAGTAAAGTTTATAAGATTACTTTGCTTCATAGTTCATCTCTATTACTAATGTTCTGTAAACAAAATATGGTCAACTTCTTTAGGAGTTTACCTTGTACAGCAATCCATGTGCAGCATACCAGATAGCCGCTTATTGAATTTCCAATTCAGTATTGGCCATTCATGAGTAACAATTGATAGACGGTTGATTTGGATGCTTGGATTTTGATAATCATTCTTGCACGTCTGATTTAATGGTCTTTTTAATGGTTGGGAGAAATGTTTTAGTTTCTATTTACTTACATCTTACTTGCAGGAAATTGGACTGAGCAGATTAAGTTTTCTGTGTGATTTGTTATTTTACCTCTTGATATGGAGGGCATAGCTTTTGATACATCTAAAAGTCCATTTTTTCAAGCATGGATATCAATGCAAAATTTGAATAGAAAACTTTCATGATTAAATTCAAGATCAACTGAACAATAATTTCTGTAATTTGACTGTCGAACTGAACATTGCATTGAGACGAGTCCAATGACAACAAAAGTATTTCGCCATAAGCCACATAAGCCTAAATGAAGTTTTTAGAGCATAATTAAAAATTCCATGATGTTAATTAAAGGACTAGATGGTTTCTAAATCACGAGCTCTTATAGTCATTAAGTGTATTTCAACTAAAGAAATCTAATGAGCCTATATCATCAAAATTTTGAGGTCATTAGGATATATAATTGTATGAAGTATGGTTTATTGTCAAGAAATTTAACAAGCCGTCTGATGAAGTGATTGGTGTTTTTGGTTAAAATTAACAAAATACATTTTAAAAAATTAAAAATAAGCATCTATTTATGTGACGGAGACATTTATCTCAAGTTGGGTGCTTAGAGATTTGAAGTGTTCCAGAGTCTTTTCCAATAATTGATGCCAACAATCAAAGCCAGTAACTTGTGTCGCCTAAGCATTATTGCCTGATGCCGCTGCTCGACTGTTATCACACAGCGTCCATCATCTAATCGATATTGTTTGACCATCATCACTCAACCATTGTAGGTTAACTGCCATTATCTAATCACCGACTTTTAGCCAACATCATCACTTTTTTACAAGTTCTTTAGCATTCTTTAGTATAGCCATTGTAGGTCAAGATAGTAATCCAAAATTTGTAATCCCATGTTCTCCAACTGAGGGAAATAGCAGTTTTTTATTACCTTAGTAAGCTATTTCAATAGGAGCAAGTCTCATGATTTTTTTCTTTTTCAAGCTTTTCATGTAAAAATTTTTTGGTCTCTATCAAAATGCATTTATCTGTTTGTTTGTGGGCTTTTCATAAAAGGATAAGGCAGAGAACTCATTGCTACCACCAAGAATATTCTAGCACACAACAACTTTGAATTGCGCCTTCTAGTAAATTTCATTTATTTGCTGATTTGATCTATATGTAAGATGTCTTTCAGCATTTAATTAATTTTTGTGGCAGTTCATATCAACTAAAGCATAATCCATGGTTTACAAAATCAAATAGTATCTTGTAATTCTATCACAGTGTGCAGTTAACCATTTTTGCATTCCTCATCTACTTTCTTAAATAGGTTTGCTGCTGCATTAATTGATCTGAAGATGAATAGCTGGGTAATGAATGTTGTCCCCATAAGCGGACCCAACACATTGCCTGTCATATATGATCGTGGACTTATAGGAGTGGCCCATGACTGGTATGATTTATCATTTTATTATTTTTTATAAGATTTTTTTTTTCTCCATCGGATTTGACAAAAATACAAAAAATTTTCATATAAAAATGTATCATCTATGATCATCAATTTATATATTTTTTTATCTTAACTCACTTGATTTTGCTCTTTGATGAGTTGTTCGGAGAGTTGTAGAAACCAATTCAAGAGATTCGATGAAATAAATTTGAACAAAAGCACAAAAAAAAAAAACACCATATTTAATATGGAAAAACTTGAGAACATGAGAAAATCATGGAATCATGCCATATCAACAAATCCACTATGAAAAAATGAGAATAATTGTACAAATTACCTCATACTTAAAACCTCTCCTCTCTTTGGAACACTTCAAGTCACTCTTTTTCTCCTTCGCACAAGTGAAAACTAAAATTCCAACAGTGAAGCCGAGACTTTATGTGAAAATTGCCTGAAGGTGCTGCGGCGCTCTAACGGGCTCTCACCTCTGGGCGTTGCAGTGTCGAGCTCTTGAGTTCTGAAACCTGGATTGAGTGTTGTGGCACTGTTAGTCTCAGTGTCGGGCTCTGTATCTGGGCTCTGCGACGCTCTCCTCCAAGCGCGAGTGTCGTACTCTCGGGTTATGAAACATGTACCGGGTCTGGCGGTGTTGCCTTCTAGGTGTCGGAATGTAACTCACCATCAAGCTTGATCAGCGAAACTGAGGGTTTTAAGTGACTAATTGATTGATACAATCAAGCTCCACATAATAACAATGGGCCGTACGGAATCACTTTATATCATAGAATTTGTTTTATTCGTAGCTTTTTGTTGAATTTGTGACCCTTCTGGCATTTTGGAAACTTATGGAACGAAGGCAATTTTCCAATTACCTCTATGCTTAATATGACAAATTATTTGAAAGTAATACCTCTCGTGAAGTTCCGTTTATCTTGTTCTCAGACTGTCCGGAAATTTGTTCTGATTGCTGTTTGAAACATTGCAGGAATGTTGTTTAACCAGTTTTCCAGTTTATTTAGTCTTTTCTTTTACCTGCAGGTGCGAGCCATTTGATACTTACCCAAGAACTTATGACTTCTTGCATGCTTTTGGCCTCTTTTCCATAGAGCATAAAAGGTGAGAAACCCTCTCTCTGGTTATATTATCAAACATGCAACACTCAGATAAGCCCTAGCAAGTTTCATCTCTCCCGTTTAGCTATTTTTACCAGCACTGCTTAAATTATTAATTACACCAATCATTGAACCTTTGAGAATTAATAATTGTTAAGCCTTCAATGAAATGGGTTTTGCCCTGTTTTTCAATCATGAAAATCTAAAAGTAATGTAAAATGTTATTTTTTTTACTCTTGCTCATGGCCAACTACTCATTGAATGGGCATTTGTTTTACAACTTTGAATCGAGGAGCTAAGTTGTAGCTATTCTTTGTTACGGCACATGAGAATACTTAGTTATATCATCTAAGTGAAAAATATGCCAATATAGAAATACGATGTTATTGACCTTCACCTATAAGTGTAAGATTATAGGTTAAACATAAGTTGGCAACACGGAAACAATTGGGCCCTAATTGGTTGTCTTTCTGGTTTAAGCTTTTTGCTATATATGAAATTAATCATCTGATAAATTAGGCAAATTTTGTTGTCCTATTTGGTTCAAAAAATTATTAAATGCATATATTGTCGTAGATTAGCACATATTAGGGGTGTGTATTAGGTGCATTCACTCTTATGCACAACAATATAAATCCCCTTGTACCCACCAAATCATATGTGCACCGTTATGTATAGATTGTGCAGATTAGGTTCAGCTAGAAGACACCTAATCTATACACTACTTTTTATTTATTCTTATTAATCTACACACCACTTATACCGTGCATACTTAATTTGGTCTGACATGGAACATTTTAAGGTGTGCAGACAACAAATACACACTGGTACACATAATTGATATGCACCTTCTGACTTTTATTTTATACCTTCAATAATTTTTATTTGGAGAATATAAACGCATACCACACAAGTCTTGTAATTACATATCTAAGGCTCAAATTTTGATACTTACACTTGACACCTTGGTGTCATAATACTATGGATGAAGACATGTATTTCACTTTTAAAATGATAACAATGGTGGAATTTTTATGTAATGTTATAGGTTTGAGTGGTATGCATGTAAATATGAATGTTTAGGTGTTTTATATGTAAATTGCATTGGAATTGTGCCGTATGTATGTAAATTCCCTTCATACTCACTAAAAATTAGAAAGCAACATACAACAACAATAACAAGCCTTTATTCTACTAAGTGGGGTCGCCTACATGAATCCTTTCTCATTGAGCTATTCTACTAAGTGGGGTCGGCTACATGAATCCTTTCTCATTGAGTAGGGACCGACACATGGTATACGTGGGGTACACCTCCCCACATCCTCCCTTCGCCTCCCTCAATTTTCTGATGTAACCAAATTAAAAGGGCTGTTTCAGTATTTCCTCCCACCCCCATCCCCTCATTTATTCGTTACAACGGCTTCGAGAAGGAACTTGAGCCTTAAATGTGAATATAGAGTAGATTTGATGTAGTTGTGTTGTGGCCACCGCAGGTTACTCTATTAGATTTGTTTCATTTTATTTCAGTTTTTTCTCATTGCTTTTCTGTAAAGGCTATTTTAATTTACATAACTTTTGATTTGCTTCATTTTATTTCAGTTTTTTCTATGAAGATTTGTTTCATTTTATTTCAGTTTTTTCTCATTTATTTTGATTTACTAGCTAATCAATCTTTAGCTAACAGTTTACAATCTGATGTTATGGGTTCAAACAGTATTCCACTTTTAAATATTTTACTTGAAAGAATTTTAAGAACTCAAATTTTTGCTCAAATACATGGAAAGATACTAACATAATGCTAGACCATCTCTACACATTGATACATTTATTAAAAATTTCTTATCATGTATTTACATATCCAACACCTTAATTTTATAATTATGTGCATAACACTTAAAATTTTAACACATAATAAACTTATCCCCTTTCAAAAGAAAGGCTGGTTCCGCCCGTCATTGAGTGTCATATTTTCATTTAATTCTAATAAATTAAGGTCATTTTTAGAAAGCAATATGGTTGTGAAATTGTCCAACAGCTTCATTGGATAGTCTCTTGATTTAAGGCACCAGGTGGGCGAGCTTACATACGTGATTCCAAATATATTATCAGAGAGATTCAGGAAATCACTGAAGCCATGGGATGGAAGACTGAACTCCGTGATACAGCCGAAGGACAATATTCAAGCAGGAAGATACTGATGGGCCGTAAGGTGCCCCGGCATTCTTAGCATCTTCTGCTTCAATTTCTTTCCACAAGTTAGTTTAGAGGATTTCCTCATTGTTGACTCTCAGTGGAGATTCGAGCTTGAAAGTAAGTGCTACAAAAATGGATGCAACTGTCAGATTTTTTTACTTCATTTTATATATCTTACCTATGGTGTTTCGTCTTGCAATGTTGGCTGCGTTGTTTGGTTTTGTTCACCCTTTTGTTGTGTTATTTAAACCACATTGTTGTGAGAGTATAGGGATGAATAAAGAAAGCTTAACGTGCTGGATGATTTTCTTGGTGCTTTGTTTCTTAATTATTGAGTTGAACGTTGACAACCTGCGTTAGAGGGAAAATTTTCTGTCCGGACTTAGGGCCTAGCTCTACGTGCAGACTTCAATAATATGCCACCACATGTTCAATAATAGAACGTTGACAAGCTCTACGTGCATACTTCATTTTATATATCTTAACCTATGGTGTTTCACAGGATTATTGAAGTAGAACTGCAGAGGTTATTTCGGGTTTATTTCTGAGTTATTGAAGAGAAACTCATATATTCTATTAAATAACCCCGAAACAACCGCAAAATAACATCCGCGGTTTCACTTCAATAATCTTGAAATAACACCACAGATGTTATTTATGGGTTATTTTGGTTGGTTATTGAAGAGAAACTCATTTATTTGGACGATAAAAATTAACACATGCCTTTTGATGTTCACGTGGATTTTAGCTGAAGTAGTTAAAATTTTTCTTTAAAAAAAATATTATAAATAGACTTACATTTTTCAAATAACTATTACTTAAAAATTCAGAAAAATTTAATGATCGAAAATACTATGAACACTGGTGATTATTGCCAGCAACAATAATTCCCCAACTGTTATCCCTCGAAAATTATCGCCTAAATAATTTCGCTCATTTTTTATTATTACATTTATATTGTGTAATCATAATTACTTGATTATTATATCTAAAGCCCTAAACAACCTTCTCTTAATCATCGACCCACATTCCTCTTTATCTCCACAGCGCTTATTGCGTGCGGATCCGATCTGAACCACTGAAATACATTTTTTTTTTTGTTGGAGTGGGGGTCCACTAAAATTTTTTACCGTTTTTTCTATTCTCCAATATATTTTAATATTTTGACATTTACAAAAAGTCAAATCACCCATCAAGATATTGTAATCTCTTCTTCTTTAACGTAAAAAGAGGGCAAATTTTGGGAATATCGAATAACATGTGGATTATTACAATTGGGTCATGTTTAATGAATTTTTAATGTTTGTAACTATTATTATTTATCATTTGATTACGGTGATCTACGGTCAGGATGTATTTTGATGGGCCCCACTTTAAATTTTTTTTTTCAAAAAAATTTTGATTGCATCGTGACCGTGGATCACCGTGATCTACGATCAGGATCGGACACCGCCCGGTGTATGTATGTAATAATTTTTCCAAAGTAAGGGATACTTAATTTGCGTTGTTTTTTAGCATAAAACAATGACCAGTGTTATGAAGCAATAATAAAAAATTTAAAATTCTGAAGGAGCATTTACATACATTACCTCACAATTTGAACACATCTTTTTAAGCATAAGCAAACTATCTTAAACGTGAAAAGCAAATTTTAAGTGCTAGATATGTAAATCTTCCAATTCTGAAATGATATGAGTGATAAGAAATAACTTTCAATTATTTGGCAATTGATTCATGTAAAACTTAATTTATAGTACAATTTATCATATCATAATGAATGAGAAAATTGTGTAAGCGTGCATTAAAAATTACCAGCACAAATCACAAGGACATTTCACCGATGGTAAAAAGGCCGAAGTGGCCTCGCAGACCCTGCCATGGACAACCCAGGAATACTGCCCAACCGTACATATTCTTATATCATAAGAATAGTGTGTTTCCAATGGGAGGAGAAGATCACCTTCAAAGGATTCAACTGATTAGATATGGTAGAATGAGACCACCACCATCTATTTTGAACGGAATGAGAGAGTGCAATGGTTCCCAATGCCCCGAGGGCGGAGAACTTAACTCACCAATCCACGCTGCCTCCTGGCTCCACAGCCGTCCGACCAAAAGGCCAATTGGTCATATTTGCGGCCTTAAGGTCCGAATTCACGTAGGGACTATAGTACCCTCGTTTTACCTACGTACCGTAGGGGGTACAATATGTAATTGTATTAAGACCCCTTCTTATAAATACAAATAGGGGGTCCCTTTTATGAAAAAAGGTTATGCAATTTTATTGTTCAATAGTACAGTATTACTCTCTCTCTCTCTCTCCCCACCTCTCTTTCGATCTCTGGTGCTCAATTCCTTGGGTGTGTCTTCTAGATAGATTCAGATTCAACATCCTAAAAGGCGCTTTGAGCGTGGAGTCATATCGTCAACAAGATGAGGAACACAGAGATCTTGGAGAGCTGAGAGTGATCAAAGGGCAATAACCAACATAGATCCCCCACAAGACGACATTGAGGACACATGTAGAGCGAAATGCTAAAGATAAGGACCCAGACCATGGAACTTTTCTCGATCTTCATTACTCTATTCTTTGCGCGTGTCTCCCGAACAGATTCAGAGTCAACATTAAGTGATGATAAAATAATATTGCATAAATTTTTATTATAAGAAGAGTATTAATTCACATGATAGATGAATTTAACCCATAAATTGTTAGATATTTGGCACATTGTTGCAAAAATATCTTGAAATGATTTGCAAGAAAATGATAAGAAATAAAATATTCGAAGTTATAATATTAACACCTAAAGTTAAATGATATTTAATTGTTTTCTTAAGACATAATTAATCCATGGTAATATTCTTTATATCTATTTAAACATCTTCTAATTTTGAGCATGTTTTAAATATTGTCTTTTCATCTTAAAACTGATACAAATTTTTTTTTTTTTAACTTCTTGTTAGTTTGGAACCACTACAAGTTGACTTTTCATCCAAAGGCTTAAGAGTTTCCAAAAATTACATGCATAAAACCTGAAATATTACTATTTACAAAATGTAACACTCGAGCGAAATTTTTTAACTACCGAACCAACATATTTACATTACACTCGATACATTGCTACTTACAAAAATGTAAGATGATATTTTATCATGAATTTCAATATTTGAGTGAGAAATTAAAAAATGAACGAAAGAAAGTCTTATATTTCTAATTAACAATGTTTTGGGTGCTATGTATGGAAACAGCCCTTTTTTTTTATAATTTGTAGATGCTGTGTGAACAGTGTGGACCATCCTAAGAAAAAAATAATCTAAATATTTCTGCAAAGGCAATCAGTAATCGTGCACCATGATATTCCAGCACACAACAAACAGTACTTACTCCTGCATCTTGTCTTTTATAGAGATCATTTAAATATATATTTTGATGACGAACATCTATATAAAAAACCCAATTCATATGTTTTTACATATCTCACATCTAAACACTATTATTTACATTCATACCACCCAAATATTTTTTATCACATGAGAATACACAAGTGAAATACACCTTTTTCATGCATAAAATAAGGTGGAATGTATGTAAAAAATGATGTTTAGGTGTTAGATAGGTAAAAACATGAGAGTTGTTTGATATGTATGCAGATGCCTTGGACTTTGGCACATTGGATCAGCGCTTGCAAACACAAAAGCTTTCATTTATTCATTGAGAGACAAGCAATGAAAGAGCGAACCATGTCACAAGCTCCACACGATCACATGGTCCATACATAATGCTCTTATATACACGCATGCTAAACTGGACATAAATTTTTTTTCATATCCAAGATGCTCAACAACAAGCTTGGCAGCAGGCACAAACACACAAAGCTGAAATAGAAATAAACCGGCCCAGAAAATGACCAAACTAGACAACAAAATCACATGACAATCTCAGGTTTCAAAATGCTGGATTTGATCTCCTTGTGTGGGAGGACAACCCCACCATTGCTGTAAACCTCGTCACCAACATGCACATCCTCGCCGAGGATAGTCATGTTCTCAACCCTCGCCCACTGCCCCACCGTTGAATGCCAACCAATGATGCTGCTTGAGACACAGGCGTGGTTCTTGATGCGAGCTCCACGCATCACTGTGCATCTCGAGAGCCTTACGCCGGACTCCACCACGCAGCCCGGTCCGATAGCAACATCGGGACCAATCAAGCAACCCACTCCGATCACAGCGGTCTCATGAACAAGGACGTTCCCGATGAATTGCGAACCGAAAGCGAGTTTGGCAGGGGATTTCTTCCTGATGGAATCCAGGTAAAGCCTTAGGCCTGTGATATAGTCCTTTGGCTGGCCTATGTCCATCCAGAATCCTGGCAAGACCATGGCAAAGAGGTTATGATCTGCAGCAATTTTAGGGAAAACTTCCTTCTCTATTGAGGTGGGTCTCAATTCAATGCTGTTGAGTACTGAGGGATTCAGCAGGTAGATCCCAGCATTGATTTTGTTACCAACAAATACTTTAGGTTTTTCCACAAATCTCTCCACTTTTCCAGTTCCCTCCTCCATGACAACAACACCATACTTTGAAGGTTCATCTACCTATTCAAGGAAATCACAGATCCATTTCGTAGGTCGTTGATCATGAAAAGAATCAATATTGCAAAGAATGAAATTTACCTTTGTGACCATAATTGTGGCCTCTCCTCCATGGGATTTGTGGAATTTAATGAGTTCAGCAAATGGGTATTCACTTATAACATCACTGTTGAGGACAAAGAAAGGCTCACCAGACCCATCCACTAGCTTATCTCTTGCAAGAGCAAGAGGTCCGGCTGTTCCTAGAGGTTCAGTCTCCTGAGAGCAGGTAATTGTTATACCAATCTTTGTTTCAAATTCCTTGAGAAAATTGAGCATGACCTAATCATACAAGTAAGGAAAAAAAAAAGCAGTATAAGACATAAGAATTTATAACCAATAATTTAAATAATATCAGCACAAGAATACAATCAGATGTTGTTTTTCCATCTTACCTCTGGCTGGTAATTTATTGCTAAAACAACTTCAGTAACCCCCACCTCCTTCAGAGCTTCAATCTGTGGATGGCCAAGAAGAAAACACAATTTAAACAACAAAGACAATTTTAAATAAAAATATATGAAGTTCTTAAAAAGATAACTTTTTTAAGGAATCATAAAAATAGGATATCCTTACAAATAAGCAATATCTATAGATTAAATTGTATATATAACGGGATAAATTGAGCCAACAAAAAAAAAACCAAAATTTAGATGCAATTAGTCCAAATCTAAATTGTGCTCTTCACAGAATAGAAGATATCAAACAAACTACAGGGTAAATTG